CGGGATTTCGTTTGGATTCTGTCTGCATTGAGCCCCATGTGATAAGGTTCATAGGGTTTTCTTGGCAAGTTTCTTCAAAGGGAGTTTGCCATTGCCACCCTCAGAGGCTGAGAGAGTGTGACTTGCCCAAGGTCACCCAGTGGGTTTTTCTGCTCAAGCAGGGAATCAAACCCTGATCAACAGAGTCATAGTCTGACACTTAAACCACTGCACCACACTGGCCTCCCCTCCCCAAATAAAAACTCACTTCTGTCTTTTGTGTACTCTTCGCTTCCTTTGAAGACTGCCAGAAATAGTGCAAATTGAGTCCACTTTAACTGCCCTGACTCAGTGCTAGGGAATCATGGGAAGTATAGTTTATTGTGGCACCAAGCTCTCTGACAGAGAAACTAAATGTCTCAGAAAAAAATACAATTCCCATGATTCCCTAGCACCGAGCCAGGGCAGTTAAAGTGGACTCAGTTTGCACTATTTCTAGCAGTCTGCAAAGGCCCTATTGTAATACTACTGTCCAGTGACTTCTGTACTGGGTTTTCCATAGTAGGTCCCATTAAATTCAGTGAATCCTATTCCCAGAAAAGTTTGCATGAGTTTGTAGCCTTTCCAACCTAAAACTCTCTGTAATCCCCCAGGAAGTGTGGTCACAGACCATTCTGGTAAGGGATTTCTGGGGACTGCAGAGCCCTTTCACACTAGATACTTATAACACTATGATTTCACTTTAACTGTTATGATTCCATCCTGTTGAATTCTGGAATTTGCAGTTAAAGTGGAATTGTAGTGCTATAATGGTGAAATGTGAAGAGGCCTGTAGTCACCCAAAAGTAAGCCTTTCTAAACTTGATTTTCTGTTCCTCCCTCTTCATCCTTGTTCTTCAGAAGCCTATGTAAGGAGGATTCCTCTAATTCAGGGGTAGGCAACCTAAGGCCCAGGGGCTGGATGTGGCCCCCCAAGGCCTTTGGACCGGCCTCAGGCTGGTCCTGCCCCCCACCGCCGCCGCCGCCACCTGCCATGATGATATTATTGTTGTTATTACTTGTTCTTGGGGTTTTCTTCGCAAAATCTCCACAGGGGTTTTGCCATGGCTTTTCTGGGGCTGAGTGTGCATGCATATTTTTTTAATTTTTTAACTTTAAAAAAAATTATTTATTTATTTATTTATTTATTTATTTATTTTTGGTGCTTCGCCCCCTCCCCCCAATTGTCTGAGGGACAGCAACCCAGCCCCCAGCTCAAAAAGGTTGCCTACCCCTGCTTTAATTCAATGACAGAGCAGGTGGTTTGCATCCCCAAGGGCGCAAATTCTCTGGCAATAATGCCTATCTGACATCCTAGGCAGCTCCTATCACGTAAATTTGCCAGATTGAAAACTGGAGGTACTTCATGTACTTTTAATGGTTATGCAGATGAGGACATTTCATCCAGTGTTGTTTGCCATGCAACTGCAATGGGCAACACCTGCTGAACCTCCAGCTTCTAAACTACTAGTTCTTCCATCTGCTTTTCCTTGAATGAGAAATAGCAAGGATGGAGAGAGCAGGAAGAGGGTTAGGAAAGAGACAGGGGTTGGGAAAGACAGAACACAGTGCTTTTCCAAAACATTTTGAACCCTAAATACCTTTTCAGACAATCCACATTTAGTACAATAAACCTGGGCCCTCCGTTTCAGAATTAGTAGGAGAGGGCAAAATTCTTAGCAAGGTTTAAAAGTTTGCTCTTGATACACTCTCATTTAATGAAATTGATGCATTCCTCAGCATTACATCTTTCACAGAAAATTTGGTACCAGAGGGAGAACTAACATGGAAAGAACAGGGATAGGTTACTCCACCATAAAAAAAATTAGAGTACTTCAATAGGTTTCTACAAACTTTTCATTCAAAATATGCACATTATAATGAAACAACCATGTCAGGTTGTACAAGTAAAGGGGGGGGGGGGAAATTGATTGTTCTAAAAGGCTCCTTCCAAAATGCATCCAGGGATGACCACCAGTAGGGTGGCCAGACTTAAAGATCTCTGATTTTTAGCATGATGGGATGAACTGGTGAGGCAGGCTTATTTGCTTTTCCCTTTTCTCTCTGTTGTACTGTTCTCATATGCCCAGGGATCCTGCCGGCAGCTGCTTTTCACTTTTCCTGTTAGACACACAGGTGCATACTGCTAAAGTAGGATTGCAGAATCATCATCCTCCTCAAATTCAGACAGCTAAAACACATTAAACCACAGCACACCCTTAATAGCATTAAGGATAAATACTAGTATTTTATTTTATCTTATTTTTCTCATAGAGAAATCAGCCCTTTACCATTGAACAGATAGATAAAACCCAGGAAGGGATGGGAAGACATTTTTAAAGCTATCCAAATGTGGTTGGACTGCAGTTTCCATCCAAGATTGGCAGGTAGGATAGATGGGAGTTGCAGTCCAACAATATCTGGAAGAAATTTCTTACCAATGTCTTTCATGATGACCAGTAACCATTAAGGAATCACCTTCTATTTATTCAGTATCATTTACACTTATTCAAGTGTGAAAGGCAGATTTCTTTTCCCTCCTAAAGTGCACCAAGAAATAGGGAAGCAAGGTGTTACATTCCATAGTAATTGATAGTCAGAATTATTTCATGACAGTACAGTTAAAATTGCAGCCTAAGCTACTTCAGTGGCACACTCCATAGCTCAGTGAAATCAAAGTACATTAACGTCACTAGTTTCACTCCAAGTATTTCATCTTAACTGGATTGTGGGTCAAACTGCTAACAACTTAAGAAGGCAAGGTTACAATTCACAAATCACTACCTGTTCCAAAACACTGGCTTAATATAATTACTTTAGAGTAAATAAGTGGAAGATCACTTCAGGGTTTGAAGGTTTTGTTTTTTAGTCCTTGAGAAGGACTTACTCAGTGGAATAAGCCAGCTTGTTCATTATTCCTTCTGCTAGCAAAATACATCATTCTGACGGATGGAGAGGAGCAAGTACCAGATTAAACAGAGATAGGGATTGTTATTTGTTTTTGTTTTGTTTTGTTTGCAAAGACCTAACATGCAGCATGTCTTGATATGCAAACAAAAAAACCCAACAACATATATACCTACGTTTTGAATGGAATACCTTTTTCCCCCCTCACTCACTCCATCATTGTGTTATTTTTCTTCATGGGAATGGGTTTAAAGACTGTAGGGGACACTAAAGGAAAGTCTGCGGTGACAGCAGTGGAATGAGACTGGATGTGATTTATCTCATTAGAGAAGAAGAAGAAGATAAAAATAATTTTAAATAAATAAACATCTCCCTATCCCTAGTAACCCCAATCACTGATAATTCAATCTGCTCCTGTTTAACATTACCTGCACGTTGATCTACATGTGGTCCCTTTCTAGATTCTCTCTTTTGTTCATGCTATAGTATGATGGAAAGTGGAAACAACTTCTCAGAGAGACACATCAGACAGATTTTTTTTTCGTTTTTCTTCTGCAAACAGCTTCAAACTGTCTTAGAATCATCACAGAAACAAAATCCTGTACAAATACAAAGCCAGACAGAATAAAGCCAGAAAGTAAAAACTCAGCTTTGCAAGGAACAAGTTAGGAACTCATCTTTATTAAACTTATCACACAGCACTTCGAAGAACTGGAAGGGAAGGGAAGGGAAGGGAAGGGAAGGGAAGGGAAGGGAAGGGAAGGGAAGGGAAGGGAGCAAAAACGCATTTTACTGCACTGGAGAACACCACCGATGCTGCAGGGAGTCCCCAAGGCATTCCCCAGCTGTTCCTGGCAGCTGATTTTTGAAGGATGCTTCAAAATCATTCTTCAAAATGTGCTGCCAGGAACAGCTGGGGAACGCCTTGGGGACTCCCGGCAGCATCGGTGGTGTTCTCCCATGCAGTAAAATGCATTTTTGCTCCATTCCATTCCCTTCCGTTCCGTTCCGTTCCGTTCCGTTCCCGTTCCTTAAGTGCTGTGCAATAAGCTTATTAGTTTTGTCCACTGTGTGGTTGAAATAGTTCTCAATTAAGAGGTCTTTCCCCCATAACTTGCTATCTGGTTCTTTTATAGCCTGAAGGGCTGGGAACTGAATCTATTCTAGGATATGCTTCCTGCAAGGCTCTCCTCCATTACAATTCTGACTAAATTTTATGGAGATCCTAATGAAAGCAAGGTTTGCCATCTCCTTGGAAGATGGTGAAGTGTCTCCTTCATTGGCTACCTCTCAGTAGTGCATTAATGGAGGATTCCTGCACTGGCAGGGGGTTGACCTGATCATCCTTGAAGTGTCACTCAACTGGTATGGTTCTATAAGTACAGACTGCAAGAGTTACATAAGACCTTGAATGTATGCAAAAGCGTAACTGAGACCATTAGCATAAGCCTCATTTGATACCAAAAGAGTGGTGACACTGGATCTCCTTAAGCAGTCTGAAAGACTGTCAGACTGTTTCAGAAAACCATATAATATATTCTTATTTTTCTGTATATACCAGGAAGGATCATCTTGAAACTGAACGTGAAGCTGCAAGGAGATGGCCCTCACGGTGGGGTTTTCTGTTAACACCCGTTGAAGAGGTAAAAATAACTTCTATGTACCATTTACAGAAACTGAGAAAATTAATCTCATATTATGGCCTGGACTGAATGAGCAGCAGCTGTGAAGACCTACTGCAACAAGAAATATCAGACAGAGACAGACACACATTCACACAAGCATACATATACTACCTTTTAACTTTAAACAGTGGTTTGAACAATTAATTATTGTTTTTTATTTATTTATCTATTTAGAGTATTTGTATCTCACTCTTCTGCCACAAAGGCTCTCAGAGTAGCTTACAAATTGTTAATTAGACAATTCCCTCCCTCAGGTTTGCAATCTAAAAAAGATATGACACAAAAGGAGAGGTCTAGGCAGTGGTAGTTGGAATGGAGGGAGGGCCCTTCATATGCCTTTGAGCCACGATCTGTTGGTATACTCATTCCTGGAGAATGTGAGAGAAAAGCTTTAAAAACTATAGGTATAAACTGGTGAAAATAATAAAGGTTTATTTTTTAAAAAAGCTGTATGATAACAGTTGCAACATTTCAGATGTATGCAGAAGAAAGAACTGCAGAGCACAAGTTTTTCTTCTCAGTACCCAAGATTTTCAGGCAGAGCTTAGATATGACTTCTGAGTCTTGGAAGCCATAGCAACTCCTTGAGTGTAGACCAGCTTTTCCTAAACT